CCCCTCCTAATTTCTCTACCCCCCCTCCTAATTTCAATTTCTCTCCCCCCCTAATTTCTATTTCTCTCCCCCCCTAATTTCTCTTTCCCCCTCCTAATATCTCTCCCTCCCTCCTAATATCTCTCCCTCCCTCCTAATTTCTCTTCCCCCCTCCTAATTTCTCTCTCACCCCCCCTCTCCTTTCTCACCCCCCCTCTCCTTTCTCTTTCTCTCCCCCCCTCCTTTCTCTTTCTCACCTCCTTTCTCACCCCCCCTTTCTCCTCTTTCTCACCCTCCCTCCTTTCTCACCCCCTCTCCCTTTCTCACCCCCCTCCTTTCTCCTCTTTCTCACCCCCCTCTCTCCCCCCCTTTCTCCTTTTTCACCCCTCTCTCCTCTTTTCACCCCCCTCTCCTTTCTCACCCCCTTTCTCCTCTTTCACCCCCTCTCTCACCCCCCCTTTCTCCTTTTCACCCCTCTCTCCTCTTTTCACCCCCTCTCCTTTTCACCCCCCTCTCCTCTTTCTCACCCCCTCCCCCCTTCTCCTTTTCACCCCCCTCTCTCCTTTTTCACCCCTCCTTTTCACCCCCTCTCTCTTTCACCCCTCTCTCACCCCCTTTCTCCTTTTTCACCCCCCTCTCTCCTCTTTTCACCCCCTTTCTCCTCTTTCACCCCCTCTCACCCCCTTTCTCCTTTTCACCCCCCTCTCTCCTCTTTTTCACCCCCCTTTCTCCTCTTTCACCCCCTCTCACCCCTTTCTCCTTTTCCCCCCCCTCTCCTCACCCCCCCTTTCTCCTTTTTCACCCCTCCTTTTCACCCCTTTCTCCTCCTCCTTTCTTTCTCTCTCACCCCCCCTTTCTCTCCCCACCTTTGCTGTGGCGTGGCGAGTCCAGTATGGTCGGGTACAGGTAGCTTTTGTTTCCTGTACCCGGCCAGACCAACAGGAAGTGCACACACTGTGTGCACTTCCTGTTAGTCCGGCCGGGTACAGGAGACAGCTGCTCTCTGTACCCGCAGACCATCAATGCTGCAGGGCTCGGCCACGCTACAGTGAGGGAGTGACAGGAGGGAGCGCTCAGCGCTTCCCTCCTGTCAGCCCCCTTTCTCAGGCTGCGCCCGGGCGGTGCGGTCCGCCCTCATGGACGCACCGCCCGGGCAATGCTGCAGCCGCCTGAGGCTCTCTACAGAGCGCTCGGGCGGCTGCAGCATGGGGGGGCTGGTCATGGCAGCCCCCACCCGGCTGGCACCCGGGGCGGACCGCCCCCCCGTCTCCCCCTTAGTACGCCACTGGTCAGAGGGCGACCTCTGACCCCAAAACGTGCGTGTGCGTTGACGTCATGACGGCACGCACACGTTATTATAATTTTCGGGGGCGGAGCTAGAGATGGACGCGACCACGCGGTCAGCGCCATCTTTCATTTGGGCGCAACGCCCGGAAAACCTAGGGGAGCGGTTGCCGGCTCGCCGAAGAGCAGGTAAGCTTGTGCTGTCGGCGAGGCTGTGTCGGTCGGGCACGGCCGTGCCACACGGCCGTGCCACACGGCGGGCCAGCGACCGCAACAGCCTTATAGACATGCCGGCCCTTTGTCTAAGGTCCTGCTGACAGACTCACTACTGATGGTAGTGAGTGTCAGGCTCAGACCTACTTCTCTTACTCCAGCTGCCACCTGTACCGCAACCGCCTCTTCCCCACTGTGCAGTGCTCTCTGTGTAAGCTGGGAGGAAGTGATTGGCTCACACCTCCTCCCAGCCAGCTGATACTACAGGGGCCCAGTCGCGCTGTTAAAGGTATTATTTCTTTATTGCTGAACAGAGGCCCGGTCAGGCGAGGCAGCACTCCCTTTAACAGCATGACCAAACCCCTGTTATCAATAAAGAAATAATAGCTGTTGGATGGCCCTAAGTCCATGGGCAACCCAATGGGTCCCCAAAGCGCATAGACCCCGGTGCAGTGCACAAGCTGCACCGGTGGTAGTTCCACCACTGATTAGATGCCAGGACTGGAATTAACACTTGAAAAATACTCTTTTTGGCTAAATACATTGTGTGTATTTTAAAGTTTGTTTTTTAACTGTTTTGCGCTTTAACACATTCTTGGATATTAAAAAGTTCCTGGCCATCTGTTTGGATTTTAGTGAAGAAAACTAGACTGCTTACAAATTGTACTAGGCTGATCCAAAAATTGTAAGTGGGTTTATTTTATCCTTCTTACATTGAATCACATATACAGCAAGCACTATATATATCTCTTGTTTTTCATATACCATTTCAATCTTAGGGAGATCTGTTTTGCACATATCCCAGCATGTTTATGATACTGCTTAAGACCAATACTGAGCCTTCAAGAAGCTTTTATTATGCGAGTGGCCATTGTTTTATTTTAAATTTCATGCAATCTCTTGATACTACACTATAAGTTCCTCTTATTCTATGATTAAGATTAAGGTGAACATTTTTACCAATCAGTGCGTACTCTGGAACGCCCGTTTCATCTGCATTAATGTGAAATCGACAGCCATACAAGACTTCTTCACATCAAATTCATGGCTGTCACTCTCTCTGATAGCACTACTTCTGCCTCTTTATGTTTCGGTGGGCTACAATTTTCCCACACTCCAAAACTAAACCGCAAAGGAGGCAGTGAAAGCATCCTTTTCTCCACTCAATGTACCTTCCCTGCCCCTGCCCTATATTTTCCTTCCTTTGACTTTCACACTTCATTCTTCTTTAAGAATTTCCATAATTTATTGCCCCCTGGTCATCCTAGTGTTCATTGAACACTTTTCTTCCTGGCTACTCTACTTGCTCTCCTCTAGCACTCCTTCCCTTATACTTGGGAACTTCGATATCCACATCAACAACCTCAACTGCACTGATGCCTCTTGTCTGCTCTCTGTAACCTCCTCCTTTCGCCTCAAGCAATGGTCTATAATTCAACAACTCATACAGTGGGAAACACTCTTGATTTCATCTCCACCAATCTCTGTACCGCCTCATATCTCTCCAATGTTCCATTTCCCCTATCTGATCATCATCTACCTTTGACATCGACATACCCCATACTGAACTTACACCACCCAGCACATCAATCTCGCAGAAACATCCACTATTTTGACCTACAGCAATTCTCCACCAACCTCCAAACTCTCCTTTTACCTATCTTAATCCTCACTTCTCCTAGCTCTGCAACCTCATTCTACAACTCCAACCTCTCCTCTCAACTAGACAACATGGCACCTCGTACACTTAAATGCAGCAAGATCTCCCAACTACAACCTTGGCACACCAAACTGACCCAATACCTCCAAAAATGTCCCAGTACTGCTGAACACTGCTGGAGAAAGTCTTACTCTACGTCTGACATCCTCTTTTCTAAATTTATGCTCCGCTCCTACAGTTTGGCACTTTCCTCTGCAAAAGTATATCACTTCAATAAGATCGTAACCTCACTCGCCCATGAACCCAAATGCCTATTTCACACTTTTAACTCTCTTCTTCGCCCTGGTGCTCCTCCTTCTCCTACCAACTTGACTGATTTGACTAACTTGAAGATTTCTACAATCAGGGAAGAGATCTCTCTTCTCTCTCCTTCCCCTACCAATACTTCCCCCCAACCACACTCCCTCTGCTTTTCTATGCGCATTCGTACCTGCTACAGCGGAAGAGGTTTCTGCTCTGCTCTGCTCTGGTCCTTTCGCCCCACCACCTGTTCCCTTGATCCTATTCCCTCACATCTCATCCGCACTCTGTCTCTTTCTCTTGCTCTGCCTGTCACTAAAATTTTTAATCTCTCTCAAAAATTTTCCCTCTACTCTGGCATATTTCCTGCACCCTTCCACATGCAACTGTAACCCCAGTTCTGAAAAAGAACAAACCTTGACGCTCACTACCCCTCTATCTACTGCTCTATATCTATACTGCCTTTTACATCCTTGAAAGAGTTTTGCATTCAAGATTTGCAGACTTCCTCGAACCCAACTCTCTGTTTGACCCACTTCAGTCTGAATTCTGCGGTCATCACTCTGTTGAAACAGTTCTGACCAAAGTATCCAATGATCTAATCACTGCAAAATCTCATGGTCACTATTCTATCTTAACTCTCCTTGATCTTTCTGCTGCTTTTGACACTGTTGATCATGAATAACTTCTTCTCATCCTTCGTAATCTCGGTCTACAAGATACTGCTCTCTCCTGGTACTCCTCCTACCTCTCCCAGCGCTCTTCAGTGACCCTTTCTCATCTTCCTGTCCACCTGCTGCCAACCCCCTCTGTCAGTCAATACATTGGCTTCCTGTAGGGTTTATTATAAAATTCTGGTTCCTCCCTAATTCACAAGTATGTTCCATCTTGGCCAAAGACCTATGTCTATCCTCTGTTCGTACTCCTGCTTCTGATGCTCACTTTCAAGACTGCTCTTGGCCTGCAACATTCCTGTGGAACTCTCTTCCCTTCTCCATTAGACGTTCACATAGTCTCCATTCCTTCAAAAAAAATCATTGAAAACTCACTTCTTCAGGAAAGCATATTAATTAAACTCTTAATAGCCCCCTCCCGACCCCCACCTCCACACACCCTGATTCCTCTCAGGCAACTGTCATAAAAAAACAATTAGTCTTCAGTGAATACTATTTTAGCAACCTACTATTTACCCTTCCCTTACCTTTTGTGTCATTATATGCCACTCCCTCTAGCACGTAAGCTCTACCATGTAGGCTCAACCCATCTATCCTTGTGCATCCAACTCGTCAGGTTACAATTATGTGTTTGTTATTCTACCCATTCTACAGTGCTGCAGAATTTGTTGGCACTTTATAAACAATAATAACAATATTAATACTTTTTTTTTTCCACAAAGAAACGTTTTAACTATTTGTTTAAAAACAGTTTTTGGTTTAAGTTATAATACTATATATTTTGGTGCAACTACCGCCTTGTTATATTTATTAAGTTACATAAAAGTGTTTGCTTGCTGGTTAAAATGAAGCATCTCCCTTTAAACAACTTTACAATTGAACACCAGTTGCCAGAAAACACTTGATTCTACTAGAGAATTACTTTTATTGAAAATAATGTAGTTTGCAACTGAAAACTTTAGTTACAGCAGTTAATGCAAAGCAAGTCAGATCAGTCCAAATGTACTCAATGTAGTCATACAAGTCATATTTTAAGTGAATCTACAAAATGGCATCCTTCTCTACAGGGCTCCTTGACCAGGACAGCCTTCTTTCCCTGTCCAACCAAAACGTTGATCTGCACTCACTTGCACTGCCCCATGCAATAGTTATTGTGCTGGTCTTGATAGCCCTGTATACACATAATCATGCATTAAGTATCACTTTACAAACATTGTAAGGCACTGCTAAATATGCTGTTGCGCTATACATATTAAAGGGACACTCCATTCATAGTCTGGCACCAAAATAAGTGTATTTGAAAGATTTTAGCCTCATATTTCATACTGTTTTTCTTCATATGTTTTTACAAAAAAAAAAAGGAAAAGGTTTTACAGTTTTCTATGGAATAATCATGTACCTTTAGCCAAACTCCTTTCCACAAAGCAATTTCTTTAGTTCAGGTATTTTGCGAACATACTTAGTAGCTGAGCTGCTGACCTCGCTCCTCCCCATAGCTCAGAAATCATCAAATAAATGTCAGTACCCAGAGTGTTTCTTTAAATGCATCTCACTAGTTTTCAATCTCTTGGAATGTCTGATCATCACTCCATTTTTCATTCTCTCTTCAGATGGTACTCTCCAGGTCTCCTAGTTTTGCTTTTGCAAAATCGACACTTTTATAAAGGGTCTGGGTTACACCCTGCTGGTTATCAGACCACCTGAAAGGTGCCCTTCTTGATTAACCTAGCACATAGCAGAAGTTAACGCCAGGGCCGTACTGGGAATTAAAAGCAGCCCTGGAAAAAAGTTCTGTACCAGCCCCATAATGCATTGTGCCAGCACAGTGTGCAGATATGAAAGCGGGAAAAAAAAACCTTAAAACTGAAAACCATTACTCAAACATGAAAGAAAGCACTAATAGGGCTTCAAAATAAACAAAACAGCAGATTTGTTGTAAGCAGATGTGCATTTGAATATAATCAATGTTTCAGTACAACTACCTTGACATATTAAGGAAAGTTTGTAATTCACTGAAATTGTGAATGTATGCTATCGTAGAGCAGTAAAAAAAAAAAAAATGAAGTTATCTTGCTCATTTTGAAGTAACAAGAGTGTGCTCTTCACTTTGGTTGACAACTGGATGATCTCAGTCAACGCCAATTCAATTCCCATAGGAAAGCCTTGGGAGGCTATTGCGTATGTGTGAAATGTGTGAAATGCATTGCATCTCTATGGGGAGCGTTCAGCGCCTCCATGCAGAGCGTGGAGATGCTCAACATAGGTACTGCACACTGTGCAACACTGGACTAGGAAGTAGCTCTAGTGGCCGTCTGAGTGACTGTCACTAGAGATGTTCCTAGGCAGCAATGTTAACACTGCCTTTTCTCTGAAAAGGTAGCATTTACAGTGTTCAGCCTACAGGGACAGGCTATAGACACCAGAACCACTGCATTAAACTGTAGTAGTTCTGGTGACTATAGTGTCTCTTTAATACGACATCTTTCTCTCACCGGTCAACTCTAAATTACAGGGAGAGCAGGAGACACAAATGAATATACACTTTGTTTCTGTCTTTTTCCCCCAAGCCCCTTTCATGTGTCTCTTAGCCCCAGCCCCTTTGTCTCTTTCTTCCCTTCCCCAGTTCTTCTGTTAGTCTCTTTCCCAGGCCCCACACCTCTGTGTGTCTCTTTCCCCACAGCTCCTGTGTGTGTCTCATTCTCCCCTTCTCCGGTCCCTCTGTGTGTCTTTTGTTCATCTTTCTTAGTCCCTTTCTGTCTTTTTCCTCCAAACACTCTCTGTGTCTTTTTACTCCCCTGGAGACGTGTCTCATTACCCCCGAACCCGTCCATGTGTCTTATTAGCCCCCCATTTGTCCCACTTGCTCCCTCCAAGCCTTGTATGTGTCTCATTAGCCCTCCCATGTGCCTCAGTAGCCCTCCCTATGTGTCCCATTAGCCCCCAGCCCTCCATGTGTCTTATCAGTCCTCCCTCGCAGCCTTCCATGCATCCCATTGGCCCCCTCCCAGCCCAGTATGTCTTATTAACCCTCCCATGTGTCCCATTAGCACCCTCTCCCAGCTCTCCATGTGTCCCACTAGCGCCCCCTCCCAGCCCTTCATGTGTCCCTGTACTCCTTCCCAGCCCTTCAGGTGTCCCTATACCCCCCTACCAGCCCTTCATGTGTCATTATACCCCCAAATTCCTGGTATCCCGGTGTGCCAGTCTGGCCCTAGTTAACACCACGTGCAATGCTTGGATTCAATGTTTCACAAGAAACAAGCATTGCTGTTGCAGCATGGTGACTGCCACACATATGCCCTGCATATAACTGCTTTTCTGTGAGTGACTGGGAGATCATGACCCCTGATGATCTCCCGGGGACGGAGTGAAATTGCTGTGAAAGACTGTCTTACTGTTTGATTAGAGGCAAGTTAACCTTTTTTTACTGCACTGGTGGAGGCAATAACTGCAGGTACTATAACGACTTCAATAACATGAAGCTGTTAAAATGCCTACAGTATCCCTTTAAAGCCAACGTTCTTCTGTTACTACTATTTATTACCAAGAGAAAGGTTCCAAAATCTGATTCCCATTTAATCAATTATACTAATGTGGAAGTATAAATCTCACAGATTTCTGAAAGAACCTTGGTTTTGGTTATACTGCTCGAAAAGAATTTGATCCAGAACAAGTGAACAGCACCCAAAGCCTAATAAAACCATTCAGCACTACCATGTTATGTAGCGGTTATGATGGTTTGAGAGCACCATTAACCAAACCAAGATCTTCTTACTCATTTTAATGTAAAGGGGGCCAGGATATTGTTATCTAAATTAGGACAATGCTTTGGGTATCAGGAGAGTCTGTTTTATGTTAACCAGCACTAAAATGTCCAATAGGGTTGGTACTGTAAGACTTATTGCACCACAACATCTAAAGTAGGCTCTACCAAAATGTTTATTTACAATAGACTTTATTTGCGATTTCCCTGGAAAGATTGGCAGACATCTTCGTATTCAGAAGGAAATTATCACTATAAAAAAAAGTTTATTGCTTAACAATGTTTTTACACTGCAGGTAGCCACTACTGGAGAAGAGAAGAATGTGTTATAAACTAGATTCCAGATGTACCAGCAAATGAATACTGGACAAACCTTTTTTTTTTCTTTGTAGAAACACATAGTTTTATAAAATATAGGGTTGCCACCTGGCCGGTATTTGAGGCTGCCTGGCTATTGCTTGTATTGCAAAAATACCAGTAATACAACTTCTGGTATTTTTGAGATTAGACTGCAATATGGGCCCCAGCCAGTAGGGATTGCCGTGTGTGGAGAGAGGCAGCACACTGCAGATTAGGAAAGTCAAGGATTGGGTGAGAGAAGTGTGAGGAAAGGCTGCAAGGACACACACTGGGAGGCAAGGAGAGACACAAGTAGGGGGTTAACAGGTGACGAGAGGCACAGACCATGGGGCTTAACAGGATTTGAAAGACAGATGGGGGTTAAAAGGAGGAGTGAAAGACAGTTGAGTGTTAGGACAGGTGGAGAGACATAGATGGAGGTTTGGACAGGTGGAGAGACACAGATAGGTATTTGGACAGTATGACAGACACAGATGGGGTTTGTACAATATGAGATAGACAGACTGGGTTGATAAAGTGGGAGAGATACAGATGGGGGTTGAATATGGTAGTAAACTTTGAAAACATAAAGAAGAGTTGAACAAGGAAATCCTTGAAATTATAGGAAATAAAGGAGAACTCAGTCTGAGCACAGCTTTCCAATGCTTCTCATTGAGCTATAGTTCTGAGAAGATGGGAAAGCAAGCTCTGTTGAGCTAATAGAAGAGAAAGAAACCTTTTATAAACTTGTTTTTTTAAATGATAAACTCCAGACACATAAAGCACTTCAGTAAGCTGAATTGCTTTACGTTTCTGTAGTGTGCCTATTGCATTCCTTATAAAATTCACCCCTGCATGCTTAAATACATGAATGCATTCACACAAAGCAACATCAAAACCAAATTGCAAAATTCAAGCCATAAATAGTCATGCTGGGACTATAGTAGAATTGAATCATTCTTACAAGTCCACTACTGTGGCCTTAACTTTGTAGTTTGGTTTTCAATTATCTACACTAAATTCTTTAGAACAGGGAATAAACTACAGAGTTGCATTCATTAAACTGTGAAATGTAGTGAATTGGAATATTAATTGTAAATTATGGTCAAAAATAATTTATTTGATAAAATTCTCCATTCTATTTGAACCTACATTTTGAAATTCACATTGCAATCCGAAGGGCAGTCAAATCTCCCCAAACTGCAGAGCAATCCCTTTTTGTGTGTGTATGATTTTATTTACAAAATTTTCCTCTTTCCAAAAGTATATCTGTTGCTCTTATGTCACTTCTTGTCATTTCCATACAGTGATGTCATATCCTGTGATGTCACTCATAATTAATTATGCAAATTAACATGGCTGGTATTTTTTTAGCCCCAAGAAAGGTGGCAACCCTATACAGAAATAACATGTTATTTCAGACAATTCTGTAAATTGGTTCTTAGTACAGCAGCCTATATATTAATAAATGCTATAATCTCTCTCTTTCTGTATCTGTACACACATGTCCATGTAACTACAGTTAATTAATATCTAAGACTAAGGCCAAAAACATACAATTTTACAAAAAAAATAATAAACTTCAAGTTGTAGAACACCACACATATACCAAAATCCCTTGTTTCCCATTAACATTTACAGCACTGTTATTCCAGATTATGTGGATTACATATTAGAGTCCTCTAGCTGTAATGGCAGAAACACAGCACATCTTGTTTTAGGAGAAATACCTTTACTACATAACCACGTTGAGATGATTATGTACGTACTGCTAATGATTATTTACGCTTTCTAAGTATTAGGTACATGATGCTGTTCAAAAAAGTGAAAGCAAAAGCAATCCAAGCAAGTATAAAGGAATATCCAAATGAGCCTCCAGGCAGCTTAAGGTCGTTGTGAAAGCTTTCATGCATAGAAGAGTAGATGGCAGCTGCAATCAGTACACAAAGACCTGGGAAAAAAAATAAAACAAGACAATCAATCAATTGAACTGTAATAATGGTTGTGTACTAATACTACTTCTTTGAAGGAAAAATTATGTTTTTTTACAAATTGGTTTATTGGTATATTATACGGTATACAGGCATCTATGGAAGAGCTCACTAGACCTTCCAAATATATTGCCATGCATACACAATAAGGTGTCCATGAATCTATTGCTCATCAATGAAAGTGACTTGTAACCGGGAATCCCAGGTTTGAATCCCAGTTAGAACAGCTCACCAGTAAGTGTCCCACCTAAGACTCTTAATGCAGGATTCCCAACCATCCTGATTTCCACAAGACCATACCAATTTTGGGTCCTCTCCCACCAGCCTCACTTTTTAGGAACACCAGGGAACGGTCTATAACAAGCATAGCATGAGCACATCATTAGAAGCCCCCGCACTATGCTCAGGGCACTCGGATCCTGCAGAGAACAATGAAACAGTGCCCCCTGCAGAGTCCATACTCAGGGGGCTAGCCCGCTTGAATGACCCTTCAGTTCTATGGACTGTCCTGGTCCCTTTCCAGGTAAACCAGCCCTGATATGCAAATTACATCACTGAGCTGCACTTCTTCATCACTTTCACCAGCATCTCACTTCTATGTTTACAAATGGGTTAATCCAGCCTCTAGTGGCTGTCTCATTGACAGCCGCTAGAGGCGCTTCCGCGCTTCTCACTGTGAAAATTGAGAATGCTTTCCTAAGGACTGGCTGAATGCGTGCGGCTCTTGCCGCGCATGCGCATTCAGCTGATGACGTCGGAAGGAGGTGGAGAGTCCCCAGTGCCGAGGGAGCCCGGCGCTGGAGAAAGGTGAGTGTTTAACCCCCTTCCTCCCCCTTCAGCCCAGCGGGAGTGGGACCCTGAGGCAATATTTAGATGCTTTTTGTAAAAACAGAATATTTAAAGAGAAAACCATTAATATGTGAAATAACAGTTTGAAGATCCAAGAAGATATTTGACCGTCCCTTTGAAGTAAAGATTATTTGTTTTCCCATTTTGTGACAAAATACGAAATCATTTCAAATTGAGTTTTTCACATTTTTGATCCATGAATATCACACATGCGTGAAAGACTGAACTTTATTTATTTTTACAGTCTAGTAACCTCTCTCAGAGGTTTTGGTGTAAAGATAAGTCCCTGCAGTCTCACTTTTCAGTTCTCTGTCATTTAAATTTAAAATCACTTTTGGTTCGCTTTATTCAGCCATAGCCACGCCTCCTCTGCTGTGACTCACAAAAGGTTTCATTTCCAGGCAGATCTTATAGCACAGTGTGTTTAATTTGGAATTGTGCATCTTCTGCTCTGTTAATTGAACTTTAATCACACAGGAGACTGTTGCATGCTCTAACAGGCTACTAATGGCATAAGAGATTGAAAGATTACATTAGACACAATGTGTAATAAGATAAGCTAAACACATATTATACTTAAATTGTCTGATAACTAGTATAAGTCACAGTCAGGAGAGATGTGGCTTGGGCTGCATAAACTAAGTGATTTAACTCCTAAATGGCATCAGGAGGGGAAATTCCACCAATTGTAACTAGAAATCACACTGCTTTGTTGCCTTCTGTTTGGTATTTTTTTTCTTCTTATGAAATAATATTCCATTAACAGATACTTTTCTTGTTTTGCAAAAAATAGTGTCCCTATATATACAAACACATACACACACACACCAGTTTACACAAGCTGACATTGATAGCAATCTACTTTTTAATATCACAAAAAAAACTTACATGATAACATCTGGATAATGCCCGATAACACAAATCGTTCTCCTTGTTTAAGACGGAAAAGCTGAAATGCGAAACAAACAAGTCCAAAACAACACAGAATAGTAGATAGGATCATTGTAGCCTGGATAGTCTGGATAGCTTGAAAATCTGTGGAAACAAATGTCAGTATACGTATAAACAAATTGTAAGCCCCAATAGTTCAGTTCCTTATTGTAAATCGTGGAGGTCATCCAACTACGGATTCAACACTATATACACTGCACATTACCATAAAACCTTGATACACATATTGCATGTTACTGTAATGCTCTGTAATATTCATATACATTTTACTTTATTGAGAAGCTCTTATAACTACATACAGGCAGTGTGCACTTCTGGAATATCTGCTATATCCTCACATTGAAAAATTAATGTTTGTGCTGTAACATTTATTGCCCATTACTAGGAGCTCTGTTGTCTAAGTCTTTCCCATCGTTTCTCCTTGCTTTAGATAATGGTAGTGCCACGGTAGATGGCATATAGATACCATTTAAGAAAGACAAATTATATGTCCAATTCTGATATGCCTTTTTGTATGTGTACAATAAAAAATAAAAAAACATTTAAAGGCCCTTTCCCATTCAGCACCAAACTGAGCCACCAAAAGAACTGGATTAAACCTAACCAAGTACGCAGCCAGCCACAGAGAGATGAGGCAACAGTGCAGACCACACAAGGTTTGATACCAAAACCAATTCCAAGTGAAAGATAACAAACAGAAGGAGTTCCACTCCTGATATGCTTAATTGTGTTATCAATATTGTGTTTTTGAGTATTGGAATAAATTTGGAATAGTTTCATCTGAGGTATTTTAATTAACAGACATTGAAGGACTATTAATTGCCTAACCCCAATTTAATTGTGTTTTTAATTTTTTTTATCTGTATTGCTTTGAGCCATATTTTGTTTCTAGTCCCTCTATGTAATACTTCCTTTTAGAGAGTCTGGGTTTAGGAGGTTTTTATATTTTTAAGTTTTGTGCAGTCTGTTGGCTCTGAGCTTTAGGCTATTTTGCTTATTATTTTTAGGGGGTTAAGTTATGGCGTTATTTGGTACGAAATGCAGTAGAACTTCTTCTTTATGCCCCTTCCCCTGAACATTGTGTTTGGGTGCAATATTGTTTTCTAAATAAAGAATAAGCTTGGCATATATGATTGAGTATAGTACTTCTATCCTGAATCTGAACCCGGAGCTGGCAATGTATTTGATGTTTGCTAAGACTGTCTGATATTGTGAGTGCTGCATTGTCATATTATCAGCCTGTTGTAGCCATAGTAAGAAATGTTTCTTACTATGTCTCTTTATTTTTGCTCTCATTTTGCACTGTTAGTTCCTTAGCATATACTGGTTAGTTAATTATTAGTTGTATATCTATACTCACAGTTGGTTTTGCTTCCAATGTCCGTACAAACACTTGTAGTTGTGGTATTCACACATGTTCGCCAGATGTCAAGAGAGAAATCAGTTCCTACCCACCAAGCCTGCAAAGCATAGGTATTTATATTTTTAAAAAAAAACACTTCTAAAATGGCTGTGGACAAGGCAACATTAACAGCATAACTCACATCAACTGTATAAACCAAACATATCTTTAATATAGGAAAGAACTCTCTAAAGTTTTGCTTTACTTAAAGGTATCAACTTTATTTAAATAGCAATAAAAAGGGACTTTAAATAGTGACACAAAACATATATATTACAGTTATTAGGCTAGTTGAAGGATCAGACTCTCTATATAATTGCCATACTAATTATTCCGTAGTTATAGATGAGTCATTTCAGTGGCAACTAACTTTCCATGTATCAGAATTACCGATGTCACAAGTGAAATAGCCACAAGTGTATCAAAATAACCCTGATCAGCTAATTTTAGGTTTCTGCTCCTCAAGAGTAGTGGCTAAAAGCACAGACCATTTAAAGGGGACATAGACTAAATCCAGACATAGGACACAATGTACTAGAGGGGACAAGCACATCAATGCTTTATTACAACACTAAAAATTTTGCTCAGCAATATCTTCAATATATATTTTTGCCACATTTTGGAGATGTTAAATTGGATATCTGCCCCATTTAAATTTTCACACTTGATTTGCAGATCGAACGTATGTCTTATTTTGAAACATTTTAGATCAATTCAAATTGGTCCATGACTTTCTTACATTTATAAAAGTAGGATTCCCCCCCCCCCTTCTTCTGAGCATTTTTGTGTTTTGTTTTTTTGAGTGTTGCTATCTTATATGCATTCATGTAATTCCTGTAAGATAGATCCATCCATTTTCTAGGAGATCTACTATATGGAAAGACTTTAGATAAGACTATCTAGAAAATAGCAGATGGTAAGGAGGTGCTCTCCCACAAGGCAGAGGATTCAAATAAGTATTTTTGTAAGAGCAGATCTACTCCTGATCTACTCATTGGTCATGTCAAACTTCTACATCATTCATAGCCATAATAGTAGGAGTTAGGAGCAGATGCAAATCATACTGAGGGTGCACAAGCCATGGCAGATTGGGTTGAAGGACGTTCCATTCCACTGAAGCCAATAGTTTGTGGCTTCAAAAAGTGTTAAAGTCAAAACAAAGAAATTACAATAAATTCTGTTTTAAAGAATTTGACAAAGGCAAAGGTCAAAGGTAGGTGAAAGGATCAATCAATATCTACAGCAATAAAAAATATGTAGTCAGTGGCTTTCATTTGACTGGTCATTCATGAGGGATATTGGTGAATAAGTAATGCGTATTCCTATGTCCCAATTTATCCAGAACACTACAAATTTATGAGAGTATTTTCAAAGATTTTGGTGACTCTAGTAGCCTTTATAAAATACATAAGCATATTTTTTTTATTTTTTATTTTTATTAACTGGACAATGTGTTAATCATAGCTCCAGAATTCAGAACATAAATGATGAATACAATCAAGTAATTGAGATCCTAAAAAAACATGCATAACTAGTAACCAAAGAGAAGAGTAAGCGTCCTCTCCACAGAATTTGTGACAGATATAATGGTTATTTAATGACTGGTCAGTTATAAACAAACAGCTATACAGGAGGTGCAAGTTGAACAAGATCATTAGAGTAATTGCTTCTCTACATATCCTCCAGTGCCTTACAGTTGTCCATCGCTACCTGCCTCATAATTTATACCTCATGCCCCTCTGGGCACAAACACTACAGATGTCCATCAGCAGTAAAGTGGCTCTCTAGACAATTGTTAAATGTACTACAAAGGGGATTCAGAGTTGTTCATTTTTCTTCTTTTTCTTATTTTCTTTGTTCTAACACACTGGTGTTAATATCAACCATTGTTCTCTAATAATATTGTACTGTAATGTATATGTATATGTTGAATACCCAAAATGGGCCATTTGGCAACACCAGCGTTGTTTTGAGCTAAATTGTTTCACTGTGTCATGCTTGCGATCCAAGCTCAGAACTTTGTACTACATTTTGCTTTATAACTTAAAGTATATATAAAAAAAAAATAAAAATAAAAAAACAGATGCAGGATCATATAAACATGAATTTACTGAAACACAAAAGTGACACTGTAGCGTTAGGAATATATATCTGTATTTCAAACGCTACAGTCTTAGTTTCCCTAGTTAGTTTCTGGGATCCCATGCCTGCAACTTCAAAACAAAATAAAACTTAAAAAAGAAATTGAAAAAAAAAATTCTGGTGCCTAGTCTTCCTTGGCGCTGCTGCAAAGGCGAGTAGTCTTACCAGAGGAGGATCAGACCACTAGGCAAACGTGACCTCAGTGACGGTATTAGCTATTTTCTTTTAACTTTTGATAAGTGCGTGCTCGGACCAAAAACAGTTCTTAAGACACTTTTTGGTTGGAGTAACCCTTTAACAAGATTTGCAGTGTACACTGGATATGCATTGATCACTTACATTATCTATGGTTGCAATGAACAGCAATGCTATTGAAGTTATGTGAAAGATGACAATGAATGCAAGGACGGCCAACATGTTGAACTTTTGTTTTTTAGCAGGTCAAGAGGAAACTGCAAAGGAAAAAGGGAAAAAAAATTATGTTAGAACATTTGGTAATTATATATCAGTAAAAAAATACATTATTAGAAAAGACACAAATCTGTTGTCAAGCAGTGAAGAGGTTAGCTGATTAAATAAGAGCAAATTACACTCTAGGTCAATGAGCTAGACATCAGGAGATCTAACGGAAGTGCCAACTTAGCAGCTTCTCTGTCAGTAGCGTAGGCCGTGAGTGGTATCCAGATGATCTCAGGTAAGGAGTCAAACCATTCTAAAACAGTTTAACTACTTACAATTGTGTTGGGTGGCGTCAGGGCACCTTACCTCGCACCATAACCACTACAACAAAATTTAATGATTACGGTGCTTTTAGTGGACCTTTAATTTTACATTACGAATACATGTATGCAGCATTGATAGATTAAATTATGTAGCATCTATGGATCTTAAAATGAAATATAACACAGAATTAGGCACCACAAGTAACATTCAGGAGGGCAATACTTTCTGGATCTTGGGACTCCTCCATACTTGCTCATAAGTTTGTTACATAATGTTTTACGAGAAAGCATTTGAGTATTCTAGAATGGTCAGAATTTCCCCCAAGGGTTAACTGAACCTCATATTCTTTGCTCACTGGTACATCATTGAATACTTAATTGTGTCAGGTTGTTAAAATTGAAAATTACCTATTTCAACCTTGCTATCTCCTTGTGTAATTTCTCAATTATTGCCTTACTTTATGTGACATTGTTTCTTTACAGCCTAAGTTCCTGTGGACACAAAGTAAGTACTATAAATCAAAAAAAGCTTAAATGTTGGATAAGCTGGTCCAACAATTTAAGCAAAAGCTGGAAAAATAATGATATAAGTAAGAATGAATAATGACTAATCAAATAGCTATTCCAAATCTCTACCTAAGTTAGTGTTCTACCCACACCAAAATCGTGTTATCAGCCAAAGAAGGCTATGCCTCCCTCATAACATACTGTAACTGAAATATGTCTCCGACTATTTGACTTTAATATAACTTAATAGGTCACAGTCTGTACTATATTGTCCTAATATTGTGGAAACAGTTACAGAAAGAAAGTCCTGATTCTAAATGGGTCTGCCTGTGAGAGCAGACAGAAATAATCAATCAATAATCTCTAAATGAATCTCAAAAATACTAATAAAAATGCTCCAAAATAGAGTGAGTAGTAAAAGAGATAATGTTAAGTACCTAATGTATCCAAAGAGTATCAAAATAGTCTCTATAATAGAGTATAACACTTTATCTAATATAGTTAAACCTTATGAGGAGAATGTTAATCATAATCACATAGTTGCAAACTACAAAACTGTATCTCCTAATCAGGATATAGATGAACTTAGAGAATCAGGACTAAGAGGGAGGTTTAGAAAGGTATTAAAATGCTAATGTGCAGAGCCATACTTAGGATGTTGGCTGCCTGCACATAGTTGAAGTGAAAGTGCCCCAATGTGACAGTGAGATAGAAAAGCGGAAGAACCCGACGCGCGTTTCGGTGCTTAAAGCATGCACCTTCGTCAGGGGGTGGGTTCCGAAGTACGTTTCTCCTTTAAGGATTGAATTCTTACTAGGAAAGTCCACAACTTTATTTCTACACAAAGTAAGTAACCTGTCTGAGTACTTTTCTCATCATTGGCCACCAGACCACAAAACATACCTGTTTCATATTACAATGCATTATTACAAATATTTTTTTGATCGGTTTCAAAACACAGGACAAGGATCAGTTTTCTGGAAAGTTATTATTCCAGGCTAACCATGACCGCATATTAATGGACAGGACTTCTGTAGGCACTTTGACAACTGCATTTATTTGAAGTCGCTTAAGTGCCTGCAGGAGCTCACAATTCCTACACAGCAAAACTCTGTAGTACACTAATTAGAAGGTTTGAACATGCATATTCAAGGCTCCTCTCCAAGCCCACTGGGTATGAGAGCTGTGAATCTTATTTCCCGACTCTCATATTGTAACATACTGTGACAATTCATTGAATCTCTATGGCAGAATCGTAGACGCATCCCACAACCCAAGGAGGAGGTCACCTTAGCATGTTTTTTGTCATGTCAGACCATATACTTCCAGGAATTACTTCCAAATAGAGGTCTGAAACATAACTGTTTCAGAAAATGGTCCACATCAGTTCCAGTACAAGCTGGAAATAAAAGACGGTTCAAAGAGTTATCACAGAGGTCCCCATCAAAGACCATTTCAAAAGGTTCCTGGCTCCAAAAACCATCCAAAACCAAAAACACATTCTAGATCTAAAGACAATTCATGTATTTCTAAGGAGGAAATCATTCAAGGTGCAATCACTCCCCACTAACAGAATGTGCTTCACATAGGAAACTGGCTAACTAAAAGATCTAACAGATGCCAACTAGATCCTGATTCATCAGAAATATATGAAGGTTCTCTAAAGCCAAGTTTTAGGAAATAATTACCAATTCAAAGGTCTTTCTTTTGTGCTAAGCTTAGTCCCCAGAAGCGTTTCCAAAGTTCTCATCTAGCTTATAGCCGTCCTCTGAAAATTATATTATTACATTTTCAAAAGGAAAAACAAATAATCAAGACCAAGAAAGAAGAATCTCTTTTTCATTTCCCAGTAACATCATAAAACATAAGGATACTTTTATGACACCCAATTCCACTATAGGGCTTATGTGAGGAGTGCTTAAAGATTTTTCTTTAGCCGATTTTGATATAGATTCAGATTGGAATCAGGATATCTGATTACCACAAGAACTCAGACTGAACCTGAGCTGAATAGAAGAGAAATTCTACAAAGGTTTTCCCCTAAAAGAACCAGAATGGCTTTGCATTACTATAAATGCCAGTTCAAGTGAATGGGGAGCCCACTTCAGGGAACTGGCGACACAAAGGGAACTGGCGACACAAATGGAAATGGCTCCATCCAAGCCATCTAGAATTGATGACAGTATACAAAGTACTGCTGAGTTATGTATTATTCACCTAAAGAAGGTGAGGAATATATACATATAAGACAGCAACCTGGTATTTTCCTTTGACTTTCTTCAAACATTATGCATGTATACAGTTTTTCTGCTCCAAATTTTGGCAGAGGAGTTTAAATGGATGTTACCACAATCAATACATTTGTGTGATTTGCATTATGTTCTGTGTGGTACCCCACTGTTACAGTATCCTTATTACCAGTTACGGATGATTAGAAAGGGAAAGAGAAGATTTTTATAAATCTTACCATATTTTATTTTCCTGGCGATTTCCATGACAGCATTACACACCCTCCCTTCTGGATGTTTTAGTTTCTGACTTGTTACGGGACTGGAGAACATGGAAGGGCTGCTGCCTTTTATGCATTTATTTCTTTTATTCAGAATCCCTGTCCTGTTGCCTGAGAGGTGGGGCTAATCAATTAGTGGTGCTGTCACGAAAAATTGCCAGGAAAAGAAAATTATGGTAAGTACTGTAAAATATTTCTTCTGTCGCTGATAGTTATCCTTTAAATGTCATTGTATCACAGCAGCCATCTTGGTTTGGTATCACCTTGCTTTAAACAGCTGTGGTACACCTAGCTGCCAAAAGGTGTGCCAAATCTTGCATTGTTTTGGCAGAATGTTTTAGAGAAGATGAGGTTTGAATAATTCAATATTGCTGTAGAACTATAATCAAGATATGTGACTACTGGCCTCTACCACTGAGCTAGGTTTGTATATGTATTTTAAATAAAGGTACAATAATTAGAGTCATAATTTATGGTTTATAAATCTGCTTAAAATGCAGGAGGCTGGCAAAATTCTCCATTAACCCTTTCAGTGCAAGGTATGTGCTCAACATAAAGGTGCGTATTTGGTGCTTAAAGGGTTAATTACCATATGTTCCTCACCTATGTTAATAGCGAAGAGAAAAGAGACTGAAAGATACCACATTCCATTCCTGGTATCGGCTGTTGCTGAGGATGCTTTCTTATTCATTAAGATGTGACTATATTTCCCTTCTTCCAATGAAAGGGAGTCTCTGGCATTGCAGGACATAAAGACACTCAGACCATGTGGCTGGTAAAGAGATTTTTTACTCTTCCCGAACTAATTCTGTGTGTCAGGTTTGTGCACATGGCAACCTGGTTTTGTTGAGCCTGTTGGCATACACGTCTGGATATTAGCAGAGGAACAGTTTCAGCAACATTAAGTGTTCTTCAGCAAATAGGCATTGTTAGCAGCAGTTAAGCACAACCACCGTAAGACGTGGACAAATCCAGGATCTGATACTAACACTCGGCCAAACTCTCTAAGTGGTTTTATACTTGTTTAATGAGCAGCTGCACCTACTTGTTAAACCAACAAGGCTAGATCCAGGGTGTAACCCTTCTATAACCAGCAGCCCTTAAAGCTGTCTAACATGACACAGCTGTAAGACAGGCTAGTAAAGTTACACCTAGGATTTAACCCAGTTGCAACCAGTAACTCTCTTTCCAGTTTTAAACGCCACAAAAAAAACATTTAAGAATACTTAATGCAATTAACAGCAACATTTAACATCTTTAATATCTTGTTTATTCTAGTAGCAGTGATACATTGATCAAAACCATTTCAAAACCAGTTTCATGAGACAGATCACAACCTAGCATAAATCTTACTATTAAGATTTAACGTTTGCAGTTTAACCCCTTCATGACAAGAATTTTAATAAATGACATAACATCAAGATATACACATAGAAGGTCACTGGACAATCAAGTGGACAATTTCAAATAAAGTCCAGCCACACAAGACATTGACTAAAACAGCTTTTAGTCGGAACAAGCCATACTCTCTACTTCATCCAGGAGTTTGTTTTTTTAAAGTCAAACAAAGGACAATATAGTGGAACGGTCATTGTTTTGCACAAACTGAGAACAAACTAAAAAAATAACTATGGAGTGTGCCTTTATAAAAAAAAAAATTTAAAACTTACCTTTTATATAAATTTGTAATTGTCCAGGCACACCTAGAGTATGCCAAATGTAATAGTTTACCCAAGAGAGTAGAAGTGAAGATTGCAAGCTGCCCAGCTGTGCACCATTAGGTAAATGTGCAGCAGTTGGGCAGGGCAAAAGCGATCTTGGGTGATCTAGACTGGTATAGACCCAAGATCACAAAAAAGCAGGAGAAGGAAAGAAGCTAAATAAGAAAAGTAAAAAAGGAAACGTAAGCAGAGATGATTAAAGAAAAACATAAAATGAAAGTACCTAGCACTTTTTAAAAAAAATGGGAATTCTAATCAGTGATAGTTGTCTATTAGGTTGTTAAAAGTAAATTCTCCAAACACCATAACTACTGCAGCATGCTAAGCAAGTGAACAGCGTCCAGCAGACCCCAGGATGGTAGCGTTGTGTGGTGTTAATGACGCTTGGAGTGTTCCTTTTATGCACCATTGACAATGGTCTGCAATGCATGTAAACCATACTTTAGTTCTCATCAGATGTGATTTCAGTTGTTTACATTTGTAAATGTTAGCAAATATGAATTATTTCCAATCTAGATGTTACACAAATACTAAGCATCTCACTAGTAATCTTCTAAATGCATGGAATGTTACATTTCAATTAATGGAGAAGACACAGATTGCTTAATCTAATTTTTTATCCTTTCTTTACAAATGTAAATACTTGATAAATAATAGTAATAAAGTATTTAACCAGAAAAGGTACATTCAGATTACTCGGGTTCCCAAGTACATCCTGGGGATTTTACTTTAGCCCAACATCCCTAGGATGTTACTATTATACAATTTAATGGTACTTGACAAATCAATAAACTGTATTCATTGGATTCTGAAGATGAGAAGCCATCTGTATGTTGTACCATGAGGATCATCAGAAGTGGACGGTTACGATATGCTATTTCTTTGGCATTTAATTATTTGTTTTTATTGCATTTTTAAATATATTTTATTTTACCATATATAATTAGTCACGTGGATCCTCTCCTGCTGCTGTTGATCTAAAGAAGGGTGGTAGCCCCCTTAAAGGCATATCTCTTACACCCAGAGTCAATCTTTTAGACTCTTATTAAGGTGAGAAGCTATCTCTACGTTGAATCTATTATTTGCACCTGTTGGAATTTATTACCCTAGTGGCTTCTTTCTCTTTCCTCACCTTTTTTCTATCTCTTGTATGAGGACACCTGAGTAAAAGACTGAATGAGGGTCTGTCTAGCCAGAGCGCACAAAAGCCTAATCGTCTCTGTTCTGTATGTTAGTGTTAATGTTATATTAAATTTCACACTCCTTATTTTACTCAACTGTATTATAATATAAGTGTTTTCTTTTTGTGACAATATTTCATTGCTCTACAACCCCTATACGTTGCAAGCGATCCACTGTATGGACCAGGCATAGGCAACCTTTGGCACACCAGCTGTTTTGGACTACACCTCACGTGATGGTATAGACTGTATATGGGTGATTTGTTTTCACTTAGTTTATATGTTTTTCAAAGATCTCCCTCACCGGCCCACAGGCAGGGAGGGAGGCAGGAGAGGACCCGTGAGCTCTTGTCAGCAGCTCCGCCGGGTCCCTCTCGCGAGGTTAGTGCATTGCCATGGCCTGCAGGGCTAGAGTTCACTCACACTAGGACCACCAGGGATCAGGGATGGCAGCAAGGATCCCCCATCCCAGCCAAAAGATAAGAAGGGAGGGGGGCTATTTCCTAATCTGTCCCCCTATCCCCACACACAATCCCTCCAAACAAATTCACACACAGCACACTACAGCACCCTCACACACCCAGCACTCTTACACACACACACACAGTACACTCAAACACACAGCACCCACACACACACACAGCAGTGTATGTATGTGTGTGTTTGTGTATATATATATATATATATATATATAAATATATATATACATACATACATACATATACACGCGGCGTGTGTGTTTGTGCTTTAAGGTACACACCCTTATGCAATAGGCTGCGCACGCCTATGTACTTACAGTTGTGTGGTAGCTGCTGAAATAACTTCACCATTCAATACATGTGCATCTTACTATGCTGTCTGTGCTTTAAATCAACATTTTGACACATAACTTTTGGGTTTGAGGCCATTTATTAAAGTGTGACAATTCAGGCAATGAAATTAATAAAACCCTTTAAGTAAAGTCTTTGAAGAAAATACAGAACAAAAAATGAAAAAAAAAGTTTAATTGCTTTGCCTATAATCTGTACACAACTAAGGCAACTGTAGAAAAATAACTCAAAGTAAATTAAATTTTGAGCAGAGGCATACCTAGTTTACGCCTTGGGCAGAAATCTATGTTGGCTGTGTGCACATGACGAATCCGGTTCGTTATGTGGGGGGAGCTGCAGTCTCCTTCATTTTTCCTATTAAAAGACTGCCACACTGCCCCCACTTGTTCAAACTTGGTAGGGTGTCCAAAAATCTTGGTGATGTTTAGTCTCCATGCAACGAGGTAGTGCTGAGAAGCACTGGCTCTTTCTCATTTGTATGTGGTCTGGAGTGGTGTCATGGTTCACTGGCTTTGCACATTTTCCTAAGTTGTGTTTCAAAGCTGTTGTATTCAGCAAACACAGACTCCAATGAATCCATGTTTAAAATGGAATGAGGCAAAAATGTGATTCTTTTGTTAAAGTAATTTGCATATACCCACCCAGAATCCTTTGCGGTAGTAACAATCACTGCAGATTTGTGATTTCTGTGGGAAAAGCAAGTCTTATGGCTTGACTGGTGTGCAGATTTTTGTTTAACATTGTATTATATATAAGCTCTTGCACTCCAACTATATTGCCCAGTCACAAATTAATAATAAATCCAAAAAATACCGGCACTCTGGTTTGGAAATATATATATAAAAAGATATATAGCAAAGGATCACTACAAAAGCAGCAATAAAAAAGTTACTGTTTCTCCCTCTGTGCAACCTCTGAGGATTATGTGCCCCTTATTTGAAAGGGCAGAATTTCAACAGAGGATCCCCATGTCTAGGATTCATGTGATCACAGTTAGAAATGTGATCATCTACCTCACTGTCACTTAATCTTCCAAGTGTAATAGTAATCACAGAAAACTAAATTGCTGCACAAAAGTACATTATAAAGTAGACATCACAGGCTATTGGCACAAGGGTATTTTGACACTTTTTCATTTAACTGGAAATCTCTGCTAAATATTGTGCGTCAGTGAGCTTGTGTATATGTATGTGTACACACTATATATATATATATATATATATATATATATACACACACACACACACACACACTACACGGCACAATGATTTATGGGGCTAGCATACATTTTTTCCAGGGCTGCTTTGTATCCCCAGTCTGGTCTACTGTCTACTGCATGTAACCACTAACTCAAATCTACTCCCCTTATCGGAACTGAAAAGTGAAGACACCTAACTGGGAACATAAGATATCTCTATCTATAAATCACCCACTTCTTCAAATCTCTATTCCCCATGTCAATCTCCACAGACCTTTGAATCATATTGCCACAATCAGGAGAGACTCCCCAGGAACATCTCTATCTTATATCAACATCTAATGACCCCTGTCACATCCCTGCTTCCCCAATTCATTGCAAGGTGAGAAACTGATCGGAGTCTTGTTTTCACTGAAGAACAACAGTCCAAAATGTTCAATTTACCATCAAAGCCTCTGTTGGACTCTAATCTAATTGGAATGTGGTGCCTTGTATCACTCTATTTTCTTACTTATCTTTGCAGACCCTGTTTACTTTACCTTTTTACTTTGTCATTTAGGAAACAATGAAAAGTTAGCTATTTAACTATAATGTGTTTTCTGCATAAATTACAGGATGGGAAAGTATAAAAACAAAAAAATAATAAATGTTACCGTCTAACATTTGAATGCCAATTTTATTTGAAAAACAGATCTAGAATCCAACTTTTTCTTTTGGTTTGATTTTGGGGGGTGGGGAAAAATTTAACTGTTTTTAAAACTATAAGTATAATGAACAGTTTTAAAAAAAAAAACATACACTACAAACAGTTGTACCAAAAATGTATATTTGTATCTTTTTGCAAACTAAAATATGTAATAGACGAGGGAACTCACAGAAAAAGCACTAATATTGGTGTTTAATTGAAGAACGTGTAAACGCCTACAAATGGCAGTCACGCATGGCTGTAAACTAGCATAGCACTTAAGAGGTTAATAAAGCAGTATGTGCATGACAGAGTAAAACAAAAATACCATAAATGTTAGAAGCATGTGGCGATCAAATGGTTGCGTGACAAGTGTTTAAATACCCCTAGGGTAAACAAATGTGGTGTAATTTCAAAAATGTTACTTTTTTGTGGCTTTTATGTGTTCTGTGACAGCTAAGTGTAGAATCCATAGTAGCAGAATTTGAAACATTTAAGTATAACTAGAATTCTAAAAAACTGAATGCAGCACATAAAGATACAGGTTTCAGTTGCTCAATATGTATAAAGATTAAAAGAACACTATACTGACAGGAATACAAACCTATATTCCTGACACTATGGGTGAAAAACACTGTTTAGTCCCCCACCCCAGCCGACAGGGACAGGTTATAGATACCAGAACGACTGCATTAACCTGTAGTTGTTCTGGTGACTATAGTATCCCTTTTAAGAGGAACTGTCACTTTCCAGGTTTTTAATTATTAGGTTTATTTACCTCTAAAATTAACAAGTACTAATATTGGTGTTTAATTGAAACGTGTAAACGAACTACAAATGGCAAGTCACGCATGGCTGTAAACTAGCATAGCACTTAAGAGGTTAATAAAGCAGTATGTGCATGACAGAGTAAAACAAAAATACCATAAATGTTAAAAGCATGTGGCGATCAAATGGTTGCGTGACAAGTGTTTAAATACCCCTAGGGTAAACAAATGTGGTGTAATTTCAAAAATTTTACTTTTATGTGGCTTTTATGTGTTCTGTGACAGCTAAGTGTAGAATCCATAGTAGCAGAATTTGAAACATTTAAGTATAACTATAATTCTAAAAAACTGAATGCAGCACATAAAGATACAGGTTTCAGTTGCTCAATATGTATAAAGATTAAAAGAACACTATACTGACAGGAATACAAACCTATATTCCTGACACTATGGGTGAAAAACACTGTTTAGGTCCCCACCCCAGCCGACAGGGACAGGTTATAGATACCAGAACGACTGCATTAACCTGTAGTTGTTCTGGTGACTATAGTATCCCTTTTAAGAGGAACTGTCACTTTCCAGGTTTTTAATTATTAGGTTTATTTACCTCTAAAATTAACAAGTACGTATTTATAAATTGTAAAAAATAAATGTAACGAACTCGATGGGCACAATGACTGCATCAAAAGATTTATGTGGTTATGGTGCCTGGAGTCTGTTGGCGCTGGATTCCGCATCACTGCTAAATAGCTTACTTGCCTCTAAGCAGAACTGCTTGGCAGCCTGGTCTCCAATAATGAAATGGCAGAGGTGTAGCAATGCTTCACGCTATACCATAGGGAAATTGGCAGAAGATAGGCTGAGAACATAAGCTATGTACTCTCAAACAATCACTAGAATGAATTGGCAGGAGATAATAGCATAACTCCACCTCCACTATATCGTCGTTGAAGGCCAGGCTGCAAGGGACCAAGCATCTCTTCTAAATGGTGACTGAACCATTTAGCAATGATGTAGGACCTGACACCTATGAACTCCGGGCACCATAACTACATCACACATTGAAGTTCTTATGGTACCTATAGTGTGACTTTAAAATGTAGAAAGCCACACTTCGTTAGCCTGCAGCTGGTACCTTCTTGTTAGCTCCCTGTGAATCATTTTCAGAAATTCTGTCATCATAGAGAAAGCACACAGAGAAAAAGAGAAATGAAACAGTGTTCCCGTTTCTCCTCTTCATTTGTAATGTTTTCCTTGGTTCTGTCTTGTCTGAACAGGATTGTTATGTTATTGTTAAATCGAATATAAATTTAAAAGAAAACAAAGCATCTCATGAAAAAAGTTAACTCAAGTTAAGTGATTTTAAAACTATTTTTTAAATTTCTCAATGTAATTTTTAAATTTACCAACTTTTTTTTAGTCTGTTATATGTACATAAAAGAGGATATTGAATAATTAATTTTATACCAAACACTGTTGGTTGCCAGTGTCCTTTCATACCTCCCAAGTGTCCTTATTTAGGACGGACAGTCTCTATTTTGGGCCTATGTCCCTCTTTTCTATCCTAATGTCGCTCTTTCATAGTAGCACAATATTCTTGGTGTGTCTGAATTTATAACACAACACCACAGCAATAATGCTCACAGTAGTACATTTTTAAACTACAATAGATGTGTTAAGAAAAAAGTCTGTGTAAATAAGATGCATTGTTCTAAATTACATACATTGTGTTTCGCAAGTCGCCTAAACTTTTTAGAACAGCCCACCCCTAGCCACACCCTTAAAATCAAATTGTCCCACTCTGTACATGTGAAATGCTTGGAGCTATGTTATCTTTACTTTTTGATCACTTCAAAGTGTGAAGTGTGTGAATAAGCATGTGGGTGTATATATGTGTGTGTGTGTGTGTGTGTGTGTGTGTGTGTGTGTATATATATATGAATGAGTATAAATATGAACATGAGTTTGTTTGTTAAAATGATTGTGTATGTATAATGATGTGAGGGTGTGTCATTTTCCTTACAAAAGGAGGTTAGCGCAAGCAGAGTGAAATACACAAAAGCAGACAAGAGAACTAAAGGTTTAGCAGCTTTTTTTTTTTAGATATATCCATAATTAAATGCAAACAAGTTTTCATTTGTGGTATATCTACGAAATGTGATTTTTTATTTATTTTGTATTTTGGCAGTGGAGTGTCCCTTTACTAAAGAGGGGAGCACAGTTTAACCTTACCTTTGATGTTGTGAATTTTGTACGCCTAATGTATTTTACTGAAGGAAACTGAATAATGTGTATTTGTCAAACTTGGAAGGAACCTATTTCAGATTCCAAATAGAGAATTTTTACAATTTTCTTTTGATTGTGCATGACTTATTAGGGGCAGTTTAGCACACCACCAATTTAGAACTCACCAACTGAAATAACCACCTAAAACAATTCATTTTTCAAATTTATAGAAAGTCATTTCACATGGGGTATTCTGTTTTTTTCTAATGTGTCCGTATTGGCACACATTTCATCCAATCTGGCTATGGAGGAACCATAATTAGAAATGGTGCTAGGGGTTGGATAGGGGTGAGAATGCAATGTCACCTGGATCACAAATATGGCAATCTGATTTGTAAATGGAAATCCCACAAATCTGTGGGGACTGCTACTGACTGTATTTGTGTCCTTGCTACACTTACATGCACATGGGGTACTAAACTTCAGCCTCAATTTAATATTTATGGACAAGCTTACAGAGATAATTTTGCAGTTGGTGTAAGCCCATGGTTCATTAGCAATCTGTCTGCTAATGTGAATTCTGTGCATAAATTTCACCCATAGTGAGAACCTATAACTTATGGGAAACAATCATCCAATGTTAGCACAGGGATCTCCTCCATGCCATCCTCAGTCCTTCATCAACCCAGCCTTTCTGGCATCCCTTACCCATGCAGTGAGGGGGAGTGATGTTATGAAGGGAGGATTGAGGTGCAGCGAGAACTTCACCTCTACAATAGAGCTCCAGAGTTGAGTATTCTTTTTTATTTAAAAAAGAATACTCAACTCTGGAGCTCTATTGTAGAGGTGTCCATAAATATTAAATTCTTTTTTAGTTATCTTATTTTAATTTTTATCTCTGGGGAAAGAGGAGGGCGGGGGCACAATGCCAGCATGTGTTACGCCAAACAAAACACGGTGTTTTATTTAAAGGTATGGCTTGTTTGCTTGCTCCAATCTGCGCCTCCAACTCTGCATTGAGGGTGACTGTCATAGAAGCTTTTTAAATATATATATAAATGATACATTTCCATTTTTATATTAAATGTTAATACTAACTGCACCTAATTTGCACTAAGGTGTAGGGCTGACCTTAATGAGGACAACACATTTCAGGGTACAGAGCATCAGGTTACTGCCCTAAATGAGCATCTGAAACAATCTGGAAGATCTACATACCTAATAACATTCCCAGCTCTGTGTCTAAATTGTACCATTTGTGACATAGATAGATGCAGAGAAGACAAAGTTAAAACACCCTCCCCCCACAAAAACCATGATTGAATAGTGGCCTGAAGACATTCTAATTAGCAGTCAAACTAAGCTTCAGAGGTAGACTTGGTATGTTCCCAGGTATACAACTGTAAGGTATAATGTTACATTTACATTAAGAAAAGGTTTGAGGGAGTCGTGTTTCACTGCACAGTTTTTCACTTGGTTTTCAATGGAGGTCTTCTATTTCTTTTAAACTTCTATAGCTATAATGTAGGCAAAATTATATTTAAAAAAAAAACTAACACACCTTTACGAATCCTGTACTGTATTTCAATGTATTGAACAAAAGGAACTGGACTTTCCAGTTATACTACACATGCAGTTCAACAATAAAACTATTTTACACACCTAAAAAAACAAAAACAAAAAAAAAGCCTTGGGGTACTATAAGTCCTGTTCTTCAACCTGCTCCGAAAAGGATAAAATGTAGAGCTGGGCTTGTCTCATACCAAAAAATAGAACTACTAATGCATGCATAACTTGAATGTCAGGCTATGAAACTTTGATTTAAACAAATAAAAAATATGAACTTGTTCTTGCTTATTTACCTTAGCATTCAGATGGCTAAGCATCTTAGGTAGTTCACAGCTGCACTGCCAAGGTATTGCTATTACAGATTTATATCCTACCTTCCAAAGCAACTAACAAAGGAAAGCTCTGCAAGATTGTGGAACTCTGTAGAATTATTTGCTTTGTAAAATAGTTTGTTTACAATTAAGCTCTTTATTCACAACACCTCTAAAAAAATACAAAAAAAACCTCACACTTTGGGCATAAAGAGGACATATGGTCAGACAGAAGGACGACAACATACTCTTCGTCTTTTGTGATGGACACGTGTCTCTTTTCAGACTATGTAACTTTGTGATTTCGCCTATACAGTGCCTGTTCTAAGCAAACATGCAAGGCAAACTGTGTGTCTGTCTGGATTCTTCAAATGAGGGCTGCATTGCTTATAATATATCCTGAAACGAATTAAAGGGTTACCTTAACCACCATGGTTACTTCTGGTTTTTGAAGTGGTCATGGTGGTAGGAGTTTTTCATGTTGGGGGCAAGTTGCACAAACTGCACTCTCACTGTTCCTGGCTGCCTAATGTAAATTCTGTGCATAAAATCTGTCTGCAAGGAAAAAAGCTCTGTCTCCCCTTCCTACCAACTCTTGGGGAAGCCCTCCCGTCTCCAAATTCTGTCCGTTTTGTGGTTTGTTTGTTTTTAAATCACCCTGCTCTGCTTCCTCTTACTCCTTTCCCTCGCTGCCTCTCAACCTCCCTTTGCAAGCTCAGAGCTTGCACATGCGCTCTTTGCCTGTTAAATACCAATCAAAAGCTCTATGAGAAACCTTTAATTGGGCCTCGGCACGGCTCCCATGTCGTCAGATGGGGATTTGCCAAGCAGCGCCGGAGAGCTTCACCTGGCATTGATTAAAGTTAAGTAAAACTTAATAGGGAACACTTGGGGTGGGCAGCAGCACTGTAACATGGCAGTGTAAAACAAAATCAAATACAAGCAAACAAAATTAAGCCCAGCGCTCAAACTCCCACTACTCCTGGGTGGCAGCAATAGACTATACTACACATCAACTTTTGTTTTACACAGCCATGTTACATTGCTGACAGACACCCAATGTGTTCCCTACTGAGGTTTACTAAGTGTATAGGGGTTTAGAAAAATACCCCTCTCTGTCTCATTAGAGATTTAAGCTTTGAGCTGAAAGCAGCAAGTACTCACCTACACTAGGTTTTGCCTTGACGTGGTAGGTGAGCTTACACTTGAATGGCCATTAGATTATACTAAAAAACCTCCAGTTATTTAAATGTGCATAGGGATATGGGATAGTGCGCAAGTTACTTTTTTCCTTTGGTTTTTAATGTTTGAAAATAGACAGTGTCTATGGTCTTCTCTGCTACACTCCCTGTACAGTGACATCATCAGACCAACTAACAGTGTCAAACACTGGCTGACCCAATGTGCATGTATATGGCTTAAGAATCAGATACTAGGTGATTCACTAATAACTAATTTTGCAATTAAAATGTAAATTATAACAAGAACATTGTTTCCTATTTGCACAGCCTTATTTATAAGATACAATACTGTCAGAATTATTGCTATGGAACTCTGTTGTACACTTAGATACACAAACAATATGAGCTCCTGGAAAAGAGGGACAAATAGTTTGTTGCCTGAAATAGGGACTGTCCCTCCTAAACAGGGATATTTGGGAGGTATGCTTCATGATATGTTTTATAGTATGAATAAAGGTTACTCCAACCCTTCTAATGATTAAAAAAAAAAACAGAATACCCTGCAGGGCTCTGTAGGTCCCCATTCCAAAAGGATACAAACAAATAATACATTAACCTGAAATCCAGTGCTGAGCAAAGCTCCAGGTTCTGATTTCCATGCCCCCTCCTGATATCACGCCTGCCATTGCGCCGGCTCAGAACGCATGTGTGCGCTGTGTGCTGGTAAAGGGAGGGGGAGACAGGGATGTGTGATCTTTGGGTGGGAAAAAAATGTAGTGTACAGAATTAGGGAGGGGGGACGGTTTATTTCAATTAAGAGAAATAGTACATACTATATGGGCACTGCACGAAAGGCTGAGAGCGTCGTCTGATGCTTCCAGCCAATCACGGGCTGCCCAACTAAACCATCCTCATTCTGCAGCGCAGAAAGATAGAAAGCCAGGGAGGCAGAGGTTCCGGAAGCCAGAGGCCCAAAAGGTCACCACATGCCATACAGATGATCATTTCCACAGAGATGATATTCCTTTGCCAATATGTTTATTTACTTCACACAGTAATCCTTTTAGGTATTTACTGTATTTGAGGGCAAACAATCAGTGAGAATACATCAATAACTACTACATATACACACAATAGCTCACATAACGTAACATATAAGATTTACCCTAGTTTCGTGGATAAATAGAATTTACACTATATATATTTATTACAGATGGCACACACTTTTAATTAAAGTTACATTTCTTAACACAATTTGCTATCTTTTAGCCACTTTGCCCACACCGATTTTTGTTGTAATTTTCAGAATGCAGTTAGGCATAAAAGTGGTGCAGTGCTACATCATAAAATTACCTTTTACCATTCGCTGCAGCCGGTCATACAGAGACAAAAAAAAAGCCTTATAGTTCATTTACCTCACACACTCCAGGTGCTTCACAAACTTGTCAGTACATGAGTGTGTATTGCAAAGTTATCACAACACACCAGCAGCATATCAGGAACTTGAAAATGTCAAAAAACATTTTTAAATGAGACCATCTACTTTTATTTATTTTAAGTGTCTTGGTTACTACAGTTATCTTTCCTCAAAAGACTTAAGTCAGTGTTGTTGCAAGTATTTGTTAGAACACATAACAGGTTTTCAAAAACGAATAACTAAATCAATGCAAACAGGCATTTATAAATACATGTTTTTAGTTTGAGGTAAACTCAATATTCAGATTTTTTTGACAGACATCTACACATCAAAAGACAATAAATGTATAGTCTGTTTTTGTTTTTTATACTTTTAAATTTAAATTGAGCACAGGACTTACCAGATCTTACTTGTGCACATCAGGAGTGATATATATTCGCATTCCACAAACATTTTGACAAATTTGGGTTATTTTATATAACTATTCACATGCATGAAACAAAAATAAATAAATAAAAATAAACAAAACAAGCAGATATTTTACTTTATAAGATGAATGCTAGATACAAACATCAAGTCATGTTATAGGTACTCAAAAATAAAAAAAGAATACTTGAAAACTGCACAAGCTGGTTACAAAGAACTGTCACACTGATAAAAATCGCAGATCACAAGGTTTACAGCCACAAGGATCCAATTAGGCTTATGCTGAGAGCACATTTACATTGGTAAGGACTTTCTAACGTTTCAGTCATGCCTGTTTGTAGATGTTGATACTATTTTGCATTATGTAAACAGTACACAAAATTTACCAAGGGAGGAAATGTGAAATGTATGGACATGTGAAGTGACTGATACAGGTGGAGTGTTGTGTCACACCCTTGCATTAAGTAAAGGAACATTCTAAATATATTTATTTTCAATGTTAGCCTCCTTCACTTAGATTATGAACAGCACTGGGCAGCATTTGCATCTCTTCCGAGATCATCATGATGTTTAACCCAATGCTTCTTTTAAATAAAACATGGGAATACCTATTCTGCACGCATAGTAATCGTCACATTTAGCCAATCAGGTACTTCTTATAGTGAAGTATTTCATTCAATGCTTCTCTATGAGAAGCATTCACAGCATTAGGCAACACAGAACGTGAATATTTTCAATAATTGAAAGTTTTCAACGAGGAAGACGCTATAGTGGATGACAACCTCTAGATGTGTTTATACTGTCAAATGTAAACATTGTCTTTTCTCTGAAATGGCAAGGTTTTACATTACCTTAAAACGGGACATGATCTTTGGTTTTGTTGCTTAGATTGTCCCTTTAACAAAAAAAAGTTGTCCACATAGATATGATTGAGTGCTCTAAACTGGAACGTCTCATCCTGCTGACAGACAGATTAGCCTACAACTGCATTTATAAAATTTATTTTAAAAAATATATAGTTTTAAGGGAACAAGCTCTTGAAATCACACATGGGTTTGAGAAACAATGAGGGAAAGGACTGAATGTATTTATAGATGTTTACACTTTTACTTGTCTCCAGTAAAATGTTGATTATGGAGAACCAACTTGTTTAGCAGAATGTATGCATGCCTGGAAGAGTGGCTTCAGGGTACATACCTCTGTAGTAAATGTGAGCAAGTGCCATTTCACAAAGCTCACACCGAAGCTGCAAACTGAAACACTAAAATGATTAGTAATCTTTAAAAGAATTTTGAGAAGAGCTTAGTCTACCTGTGGGAACAGCTAGTGGCACCACAAGAGATAATCAAGTTGGTAAATTGGTAGCTAGCTGGGTAACTGGGTTGCCAGGAAGGAAGATAAAGAGTTTATCCAGCTGGCAATTTGCCCATTTGAGTAAAGATGCTGGGAGTGTTAACTCAGGAGTGGCTTCAGCTAAAAAAAAAAAAAAAAAGCTTCTTGCAGCTGAGAGGACAACTCCTCCATTAAATATGGGATCTGAAAAACAGGAAATGCTAGATAAATTATAGTGATAAGGGACTGCTATTATGTTGACAAACAGTGTTTGAAGTGCTTGGATCACTTCACCTGGTTAGTTTTCTATCTTCCATGTGTCCCAGTTTGATATGAAGCTAAAAGTATTGTGGAGATGATTCAACTGTAATGGTTCATATTGGTACCAATAACAATGCAAGTGGAAGATGAACAGTACTAAATAATGAGTCCAAGGAATTGGGAAGCAAACTTAAAGGACCACTCTAAGCACCCAGACCACTTCAGCTTAATGAAGTGGTCTGGGTGCCAGGTCCCTCTAGGATTAACCATTTTTTTTTATAAACATAGCAGTTTCAGAGAAACTGCTATGTTTATAATAGGGTTAATCCAGCCTCCAAATCCTCTAGTGGCTGTCTCATTGACAACGAGTATGTTTTCCTGGCACTATAGTGGTCCTTTAAGTGGGAGATCAGAAAATATAATGTATGGATGAAGTCATAATGTAGGAAGGAGAGTTTTGAGGTATTAGAGCAATAGGCTGCGTCTTGCTCTACATCGCACGTGAATGGAAGTCTGCTGTGCTTGGGACATGCTGGCTAGAGTTTTGGAGATTTAAACTACGAACAGAGGATGGATGGGGGGAAATGTTACCCTCCCAAATAAGTAGGCAAACCGTTTGGTAAATAGCCATGTATGCCCATACATGTGCCTGGCAGTCAGATAGCCGAAAGGTGTTTCTTCCCTTGTAGTTTATCTCAATGTAGCTAAATTTTAAAAGCAGCCACTTGCGCAGAATACCAGCCTTTGCAAGATTTCTAAAAAAAAACAAAAACCTGGAATACAGCTTAATGAAAAGTCTGTGATTAGGCAGCTTTTTATTGGTTATTGTCTGGCACAAAGGAGAATGTCTGTGCCGGGAAAGAATGGAAGAGTTTGCAGAAGCTGTAGATACTAGATCTACAGCTACTGCAAGCCAATAGTTCATATACCCCCCAAAAATCAAGCAAAACTAATAGCATGCATGTTCTCTTTGGGGATATATCTACGAAACTGTTAAATATATATTTTTTTTATGGAATGTTCCTTGTTTAGGAAGATAGAAATTGGGAGGGTTATTGTAGTGGGAGGCGGGTGTGTTTATTCCAGACTTGGGGGTTGAGATCCAAGCTACTATACTGTTTGTCTCTTCTGTATTTCAAAATGATTCAAGGAAGCTATAATCACCGAGTGTACTAGAATTTGAAAACATAGTAGAGCTACCAGAGAGCAGTGCTTGATGGAGTGAAAAACGAATATCTTATATTATGAGATAATAGAATCTGGAACTGACATTAACTAAATTAACTGACTTATAGCAATACACTGGACTAATTGCATTTAGAACACCATAACCACAGACAGCCAATAAAGGCACATCCTTCTTCAGGCCATTGATGTCTGAAGGTCTTCACATCTGGCATCATCAATCTTAATATGACGACACCGAACACATCCAACTGACTGGGCGCAATGATTGATGCGCATGCCCTGTAGGTCTTCAATGCTTCTCTATGAGAAAGGTTGGATTGTACCCATAGCATAGCAGATTAAAGTTAAGCGAGTGTTCCTTTAAGGTCTGTTGCTGGAAGTTCTCATTTGTGAGGCATCTAGCAAATGCTTAAAGAGGCAAACCTGGCACCAAAACCACTACATCATGCTGTAATGGGTATGATGCCATGCTTTCTCTAGCAATGCCTCCCAGTAAACATGGTATGGCTTGCAAGGGACATTTAATGCATATAAGATTTGTGGGCTGCAGTCTCTTACCATGCTTGTGAAGATTAAAATAGGGATGTGACAGGGACAGACAGGGGGGATGTGATAGAAACATTTAAATACATAAAGGGAATCAACAAAATAAAGGAGGAGACTATGTTTAAAATTTGAAAAAATACCAAGACAACATAGTCTTAAATTAGAGAGTGTCAAAGGTTTAGAAATAATATCAGGAAGTATTACTTTACAGAGAGGGTAGTGGATGCATGGAATAGCCTTCCAGCTGAAGTAGTAGAGGTTAACACAGTGAAGGAGTTTAAGCATGCGTGGGATAGGCATAAGGCTATCCGAGCTATAAGATAAGGCCAGGGACCTAATGAGAGTATTTAAAAAATTGGGCAGACTAGATGGGCCGAATGGTTCTTATCTGCCATCACATTCTATGTTTCTATGTGTGCTGGGATGTTTCTTGGTAGAGAACTATAAGAGTGAGACAGCAGCAAAATGTGTACAAGGTCTTTACATGCTCAACAATGTATAGGTTTCAGCATGAGCCAATGGCCTGTAATATCAATGTCCTTCAGACATGGACTGGTACACTGGTATAGGTTCCAATGGACTGCAGTTTCTCAGATTTCCCTCACTGCCAAACTATGATGAGCATGTAGAATTTCCTTAGAGATTTTTACAAGTAACCACATGGTGGCATAAGACAGTGCTGATAACATTTATAGCTCACACCAATTGACATTGGTGGAAATGGAGAAAAATGGAGTGTTATTGGGGGATATTTATAAGAGTGAAGGTTAAATTCCATCAATATTTCAGTCCTTTTATTTAAGTGTTCTAGAGGTGATAACTTTTTTCATTCAACATTCCACCACTTTTTGCAAAAATATCCATTTCAGAAGAACAAGCAAATGTATGCTGGAAAAACAGAGAAGTGAGACAAAACAGTTTTGAGTCACAAAATGGGGCACGAAGGTTGATAATCCATTGCGTAACAAATACAATTGCATATATGCTAAAATGACAGTGATAGCAAAAATAGAAGCAACAGATAAAACCATATTTAATACCTTCCCTTAAAAACTGCACTGAAAATTATACGTAAAAAAATGTCAGCTACTTTTTCTTTCACCTCTTCCATTGTGTCTTAGGCACACCCAATATATCTCTGTGACAGCTCTGTTGCACAGTGCAAGTCATACTGATGGAGGTTGTCACATTTCCCACCTTCAGTAGCCTCGCTCTGTCATACCCATGTAGCACTTGTTATGGTTGAATAGGCAAATTCACACAGATATCTGAGTTGTGCTCCAAAAACAAAATCATCCTCTTGGGATGACACTAATGCAGAAGTTCCTACTTTTGCATTAGTGGCATCAATTTCCCTATGTTTGCATAAAATTCATTGGCTGAGAGAATAAGGTGAAACTCCAGCAATACCCCGGTACATGCTGTGATTGGAATGTTCCATGACTCTAGCATACCACGAAAGTCCCCCATGAAAAAAGAGCATTATCCCTGAAGACCCAATGAACAGCACTTCCATAATGTGACTACCTGGGTATGCCTCTTCTATGTATTCCACCTGGTCTGGGGTTTGGTTTAAACCTTCTCCCACTGGTGATGACGAACGGCATATGGGGTACAGATGGAAGCCTATAGTTTAAACATGAGTATGTGTGTGTGTCTGAGTATGTGTGTGTGTGTGTGTGTGTGAGTATGTGTGTGCACCTGTCAGTGTGTGTGTGGACGCGTTTATATATGCATACAAGTGTATATTTTCATTTTTTTGGGGGGGGGGAGGGGAGGGGTGGATCTTGGATGAGTTTCCACACTTTATTCCACAGATCTTGACCCCTGTTTACTTGTGTTTAATTTAAAGTGAACATGTCACCAGTATTCCAGGTTGAACCATATGGTCCTGAAATACAGTGAATACAAGATGTGTTCAATGTAATATATTGAGATATAGATACCAAAATCATCTCATCATAGGATAAATTTTAGCTGTTTCAATATAAATTTAAATGGGGCTCGCTGACTGACAGTCGGGGTGGCGAGGGGGAGGGGTAACAAGGTTAATTTATGAAAGTGCCAGTTTATATTGAAAATTGAAGAAGATAAAAAAGACACACTTTTGACACAAAAAAGCACTTCAGCAAGCTTAATTGCTTTAGGGGTCTGTAGTGTCCCTTTCAAGCAATATATACGGAATTCTACTAGGTGGTAAAACCACTGCCACGCCCCTTTTTCACAGAGCATTTTCCATATAGGTTTTACATATTACTATGATGTTTTTTGATTTTGTTAGAATTCTAATTCAATTGTCAATGTAGATACACTTTTTTAATGTCTGGTAATATATTGCATGCAGTTTGTAGGCAACACTGGAAGTTAAGTTATTCTTCTTAGCAAAACGCTTGCTAAACAAATCACTGTAAAGAATTACAGTGTACACTGATAACAGAATGCAAAAACTTTTCTAAACTCTTAAGATTTAGTGTGCAGTGACCAAAACCATCCTGAGGCAAATTCCTATTTTTTTTTTTTTTTAAACCTTCCCTCAATCCCTAGGCTAGATGTGAAGAAGAGTAATTATCTGTGATTTAACTACAAACAAAACTCAACCTACACCAATCCTAAATGTGTTTTTAGTAGGGGGAGGGGAGTTAAAGAAAACAAATAGTGTCCATTTGAAGAAAGAAAAAAGTATCGCAGCAATTTATCATTAAATCCATTCATGTTCAAATAATGTACAGATCGAAATAACAAAATATAAAGCAAATAATGCAGTATATAGAACGCTTGCTGATGTAGCAGTCGACAATTTTGCTCCAAAAAAAAAAAAAAAGATCGCTCCACATAATCGCCTTGGCTGATGTTCCAAATAAAAGACGCATCATGCAAAGCAGATGTGACATAATATGGGCCTTGCAGTATATATTTACTAAGTGTCCAAAGATAAATGTGAGCTACCTTTGCACTTTTACAATGTTTCTAGCTAACATGTGGAGGGATATCGGGCGCCCATGCCAACCATAACACAGCTCCAGATTTGTTTTAAAAAGTACACATATTACATTTAAAGGCGTATGCGCGCAAACGGGTCACTTCATAGAATGCAGTCTGAAAAAAAATCGTCACACCTACCCGTTGGTCAAGAAGTTTAACAGAGACGGCTCCTTGAAGATTCAGTGAGGAGAGCTGGCGAGGAGTTGTGGCTGCTGTGTCCTGCGGATCTGGGAGTTGTTTTGAACCTCCGAGCACACCACACCAGTTCCCTCCCCTTCTCCCTGTTGCTTCGTATGATGTCAAAAGCAAACTGGGTGTGGAAAAAAGTATTTAGAGTCTACAGTGTCTCTAGAAAACAAAGTCAGGTTGAAAATAAGACTTATTCTGCCCCTGGCAGTTTTCAAATTCAAAAAATGCGCTCTGAATTACCTTTTGCGTTTTGATCTTCATGCCTTAACTTTACTTAACTTTTGGTTCCACCCTAGCTAACTAAAATCCAAATATTCAAAAGACCTAAAATGTTCTACTATTTGGTATAAGTATCAATAGGTGCTGTTTAGTACAGTTAAAATTTGTTAGCAAGGCTTATGAAAAGGACCATGGTGTTTTTTTTCATGAGGGGGGAAAAAAGTATTGAGCACAGAAAAAAACATCAGACATTCCTGATAAAAAGGAAACTTATCCACGTGTCACAATGTTAACCCACATAGCGTTAGATACATTTTAACTTTGAGTTTTTCACAATTTAAAAAATGAATGGCAATGATAAAAACTAAAATTAAATCAGCAGAAACTCATCTTCGTGTCACATGTCCCATAATACAATTAAAGGACCACTCTAGGCACCCAGTCCACTTCAGCTTAATGAAGTGGTCTGGGTGCCAGGTCCTTCTAGGGTTAACCCATTTTTTTTATAAACATAGCAGTTTCAGAGAAACTGCTATGTTTATGAATGGGTTAAGCCTTCCCCCAAAGCCTCTAGCGGCTGTCTCATTGACAGCCGCTAGAGGCGCTTGGGTGCTTCTCACTGTGAAAATCACAGTGAGAGCACGCAAGCGTCCATAGGAAAGTATTGTAAATGTTTTCCTATGCGACCGGCTGAATGTGCGCGCAGCTCTTGCTGTGCGTGTGCATTCAGCCGAATGGGCGGATCGGAGGAGGAGAGCTCCCCACCCAGCGCTGGAGAAAGGTACGTTTTTACCCCTTTCCAGAGCCGGGCGGGAGGGGGTCCCTGAGGGTGGGGGCACCCTCAGGGCACTATAGTGCCAGGAAAACGAGTATGTTTTCCTGGCACTCTAGTTGTCCTTTAAGTACTAGGCATAGTCCAATCCAATAGCATCATATGCATAATCATAGGTAGGGATAGGACCGTTAAAGGAAAACTTCACTAAAAGTAAATAATATTTAGTATATATATATATATATAAAATAAAATTCCAGCACATCTACTATGGGGGTATATGAAAAAACTGATTGCAAAAGCTGCAGGTTTGCTGTCTAGAGCCTTTGCAAGCCCTCCTCTTTTTTATCCTGCACAGAGTTTCCAGACACTATAGGCACCCAGACCACTTCAACTAATTGAATTGGTCTGGGAACAATGATTACATTGCAGGACTAAATCAGACAGCCACTAGACGCACTTCCTGATTGCCAGGCAAATTTTGGTCGCCTAACTGACGCCGGACGTCCTTACACACTCTGCATGGATATCCAGGGTCAGTAAAATCCCCATCGGAAAGCATTGGAGTAATGCTTTTTCATGGGGAGGGCGTTCTGCATTCACGATGTTCATACTGCATGCGCCTTGGCGCGCCCCCCTCGTTCAGTAGGCTGAGGCGGAGCGCCAATCCAGCACAACATTCCCATGATGAAGAAAGGGGACTTGATAGGAAGTCTAACCTTCCTAATAGCCATGAGAAATCTTGAGACCTTATTTCTAAGGCAGTGATGGTGAAGTAGAGCACATCCCATAGAGTTTAACCAGATTTTTGGGACATTACCCAAAATTCTGATTAGGCTTTTCTTTTTTTTTTTGCTCTACCTAGCAACAGCAGAGGGGAATAAAACAAGAACTGCAGTACTCATATTTAAATGGGAATAAAAACTTGTTATCACACAAACAAACATTCAAGGTGTAAGTTTACAAAAAAAACATTAAAAACCTAACAAAAAAAAAAGTTTAAAAGTTTATTTTTTATAACTTATTTTTGTATTACGCAAAAACTGGTGGGGGGCTGCGTTAGCTGCCCCTGTGACAGCTGCCACAAGCTCAGGATAGAAACCGCCAAGGGATCTAGGATTGCATAAGCCTAGAGCTTCCAGAAGTGATCAAGCCTTGCCCAAACTCCCAGATTCTGGGGAACCAAATCTACATAAAGCACATTTAGAGGTTCTGAATGATGCAGTAGATTTAGGTTGGTTTCCTCTAGATGACTGGCATCCCTTCTAAGATATGGATCTGGTGAAATCTGTTCCTGGACTCTGGAATCTGGACTCTGGAAAGGACGGTCTGTCTCTTCATAATCTGTGATCATTCCACAGTTGTGGTTATTTTCTCTCTTTACACATATGAGGAAGAAAGGCCTTCTTACCTTCTGCATCCTTCTTGTCCTTGAAAAGAAAGGCTACAAAGACTACTTTTAGAAGGCAAATCTGCATGCCAGGACTTTAACCATATTGCCCTCGGAGCTATGTGGCAAATCTGCATGCCAGGACTTACCATATCGCCCACAGGTAATATGTGTCATTCTGTCAGTGTGAGTGTATGTGTGTGTGTCTGTCATTCTGTGTGTCTGTCTGTCATCGTGTGTGTGTGTCTGTCATGGTGTGTGTCTGTCTGTGTCATGGTGTGTGTGTCTGTGTCATGGTCTGTCTGTGTCATGGTGTGTGTGTGTGTCTGTCTGTGTCAATGGTGTGTGTGTGTCTGTCTGTGTCATGGAGTGTGTGTGTGTGTGTGTGTGTATGTCTGTGTCATGGTGTGTGTGTCAAGGTGTGTGTGTGTCTGTCATGGTATGTGTGTGTCTGTCAAGGTGTGTGCATGTGTCTGTCATGGAGTGTGTGTGTCATGGTATGTGTATGTGTCTGTGTCTGTCATGGTATGTGTGTGTCTGTCAAGGTGTGTTTGTGTCTGTCATGGTGTGTGTGTCATGGTATATGTGTGTGTCTCTCATGTTGTATGTGTGTTTCCATGTGTGTTTAAAAATAGTGTTTTTACTCACCTTTCCCCGCCGTGCTGGTCTCCCCTTGATTAGCCCTGCCTCTATGGCTTAGATCATCAAGATTGATAATCACAGCCAATCCAATGCTCTGCCATAGGACTGGCTGCAAAATGCTACACCAGTCAGCATCTCCTCATAGAGATGCATTGAATCAATGTATCTCTATGGGGAACGCTCAGCGCCTCCACAGTGTGGAGGCCTGAATGTAGGTGCTGCACACTGTGCAGCACTGACACAGAAGCACCTCTAGTGACCGTCTGAGTGACTTTCACTAGAGGTGTCACTAGGAAGCAATGTAAACACTGCCATTTCTCTGAAAAGTCAGTGTTTACATTGAAAAGCCTGCAGGGACAGGTTATAGACAACAAAACTACTACATTAAGGTGTGTGTGTGCGTGTGTGCCTGCTAATCAGTGAGCTTGCTTGCATGTGTGTGTGTGTGCCTGCTAGTGAGTGAGCTTGAGTTTTTATGTCAATAAGCTTATGTATATCAGTGAGATTGTTTGTCTATGAGGCTGTGTATCAATGAACTTGTGTGTGTCAGTGAGATTGTCTGTGTCTGCCATAGGCGTGTGCCGGGTGTGCCTGGGCACACCCTGATCCCGTAGGCCCTCGTTGTGTGCCTCCATGGGACCCACCGGCCCGCAGGGAGGGAGGCAGGAGAGGACACGGTGAGCTCTTGCCAGCAGCTTCGCTGGGTTCCTCTCGTGAGGTTGGAGCATTGCCACAGCAATGCTCAGATCTCGCGAGAGTGAACTCTAGCCTGCAGGCTAGAGTTCATCTCACACTAGGACCACTAGGGATCAGGGATGGCAGCAAGGATCCCCCCTACCAGGCAAAAGGTAAGAAGGAAGGGGGCTATGTCCTAATCTGTCACTTTACCCCCACACACAATCCCTCCAAACAAATTTACACACAGCACACACACACAGCACCCTCACACACACAGCACACTTACATGCACACTCACAGCACCCTCGCACACAGCACACTAACAGGACCCTCACACACAGCACACTACCACCACACAGCACGCTTACACACACACACACACACACACACACACGCACACAGCACCCTTACACAGCACACAGCACACTACCAGCACCCTCACACACACACAGCACACTACCAGCACCCTCACACACAGCACACTACCAGCACCCTTGCACACACAGCACCCTTACACACACACACACACACAGCACCATCACACATGCAGCACCCTCACACACACGGCACCCTCACACACACACACAGCACACACACACCAGTATATGTATGTGTGTGTGTGTATATGTATATATATATATGTATATATATATATATATATATATATAGATACATAAATAGATAATTATATCTATATATATATATATATATGTATAGATAGATAATTATATCTATATATAGATAGATAATTATATATATATACACACAGGGTCGCCATCAGGGCATGACAACCGTAACGGTTGTCATGGGCCCGGCCGTCTGAGCCCCACATTCCTTATGTGCACATATATATAGTGAATTTCGCTATATATCTATGCACTGAGGGCCCCCCTACCTGTAAATTGCAGAGGTGGGCCCAGCAGCACACTCTGTCCTCCTTCCAGCTCCTCTCTTTCTAACTCTTTTGCGGCCGCCAGAGCGTTGCCACGGGTTACCATGGCAACGCTCCGCACAGCACGCAGAGTTCGTCAGAGAGGAGCTGGAAAGGAAGACAGTGTGTGCTGCTGGGCCCCCCTTTGCAATGTAACGCGGCTGTCTCTCTCCACCAGACCACCAGGGAATAGGATCTCCCCCCTCCCTGGCAAGGTAAGAACCAGGGAGGGGGGAATAAAATTTAAATTTGAAATATACACAAATATTTTTTTTTAAATACTCCCCTCCCCCCTACTTTACACAAACACTGCATCCTTACAAGCACACACACACTACATTCACTGAACACACTCTGCACTACACACACACACTACATTCACTAAACACACACACTACATTCACTAAACACACTCTGCACTACACACACACTACATTCACTGAACACACTCTGCCCTACAGAAACACACTACATTCACTAAACACACACACTACATTCACTGAACACACTCTGCACTACACACACACTACATTCACTGAACACACTCTGCACTACACAAACACACACTACATTCACTAAACACACTCTGCACTACACACTAAACACATTCTGCACTACACACACACTACATTCACTAAACACACTCTGCACTACACACACACTACATTCACTAAACACACACACTACATTTACTAAACACACTCTGCACTACACACACACACTTCATTTACTAAACACACTATGCACTACACACACACTACATTCACTAAACACACACACTACATTCACTAAACACACTCTGCACTACACACACACTTCATTTACTAAACACACTCTGCACTACACACACACTACATTCACTAAACACACTCTGCACTAAACACACTCTGCACTACACACACAAACTACATTCACTAAACACACTCTTCACTACACACACACACACACACACTACATTCACTAAACACACTCTGCACTACACACACAAACACACTCTACATTCACTAAACACACTCTGCACTACACACACACTACATTCACTAAACACACTCTGCACTACACACACTAAACACACTCTGCACTACACACACACGAAATTCACTAAACACACTTTGCACTACACACACACACACACACTACATTCACTAAACACACACACTACATTTACTAAACACACTCTGCACTACACACACACACTACATTCACTAAACACACTCTGCACTACACACACTAAACACACTCTGCACCACACACACACTACATTCACTAAACACACTGCACTACACACACTACATTCACTAAACACACTCTGCACTACACACACACACTACATTCACTAAACACACTCTGCACTACACACACTCACACTACATTCACAAAACACACTCTGCACTACACACACACACTACATTCACTAAACACACTCAGCACTACACACACTAAACACACTCTGCACTACACACACACACTACATTCACTAAACACACTCTGCACTACACACACTAAACACACTCTGCACTACACACACACTACATTCACTAAACACACTCTGCAATACACACACACACTACAGTCACTAAACACACTCTGCACTACACACACTCACACTACATTCACTAAACACACTCTGCACTGCACACACTAAACACACTCTGCACTACACACACACTACATTCACTAAACACACTCTGCACTACACACACACACATTACATTCACTAAACACACTCTACACTACACACACACACTACATTCACTAAACACACTCTACACTACACACACACACTACATTCACTAAACACACTCTGCACTACACACACTAAACACACTCTGCACTACACACACACACTACATTCACTAAACACACTCTGCACTACACACACTAAACACACTCTGCACTACACACACACTACATTCACTAAACACACTCTGCAATACACACACACACTACAGTCACTAAACACACTCTGCACTACACACACTCACACTACATTCACTAAACACACTCTGCACTGCACACACTAAACACACTCTGCACTACACACACACTACATTCACTAAACACACTCTGCACTACACACACACACACATTACATTCACTAAACACACTCTACACTACACACACACACTACATTCACTAAACACACTGCACTACACACACTCACACTACATTTGCTAAACACACTCTGCACTACACACACTCACACTACATTCACTAAACACACTCTGCACTACACACACACACTACATTCACTAAACACACTCAGCACTACATACACACACTACATTCACTAAACACACACTGCACTACACACACTCACACTACATTCACTAAACACACTCTGCACTACACACACTCACACTACATTAACTAAACACACTCTGCACTACACACACACACTACATTCACTAAACACACTCAGCACTACATACACACACTACATTCACTAAACACACACTGCACTACACACACTCACACTACATTCACTAAACACACTCTGCACTACACACACACTACACTCTCTAAACACACTCTGCACTACACACACTACATTCACTTAACACGCTACACTACACACACACACTACATTCACTATACACACATTGCACTCACTACAAACACACTACATTTACTAAACACACTTTGCACTCACTACAAACACTGCATTCACTATACACACTCTGCATTCACCACAATCACACTACATTCACATACACATTTTGCATTCACCACAATCACGCTACATTCACATACACATTGTGCATTCACTACAATCACACTACATGAACTATACACATTTTGCACTCACTACAATCACTATACATACTTTGCACTGTAGCTGCAAACACACTACATTCACTATACACATATTGCATTCACCACAATCACACTACATGCACTATACACACTTTGCACTCACTACAAACACACTATATCTACTACAGAAATACACACTGCATACACACTACATCCACTACAAAAACACACACTCTCCATTCACTGTACACACACTACATCCACTACAAAAACACACACACTGCATTCACTATACACACCTACATTCACTACACACACACTCTGCATCTAATGTATGCATACAAACATTACATACATTACACAAAACGTACAATCTGCATCCACTATACCCACTGCATCCATGACTCACATACCACATCCACTATACACACTGCATCCGTGACACTCATTCTACATCCACTACACAAACACACACACACACTTCATCCTTGTGGGCGGACTCGGGGATCTTGTGCTGTGTCAGGGGCCCTAAAATTTCTGATGGTGGCGTGTGTGTTTGTGCTTTAGGGTGCACACCCTTATGCAATAGGCTGCGCACGCCTATGGTGTCTGCATGTGAGTATGCTTACTGTATAATTAAACTTTTTACTAAGAAAGGACCAATATTTTATATTAGAAAAATAATATATATTACTCAATCGTCTGGGGTGGCAAGACATAGCCTTACATATTACATGCGACAATAAATGGCGCAATGACTTATGGGGCTGGCATAGATTTTTTTCCAGGGCTGCTTTGTATCCCCAGTCTGGCCCTGCTGCGTACAATACTCCAAGTGAGGTATCACCAGTGTTCTGTACAATGGCACGAGCACTTCCTTCTTTCTAATGCTAATACCTCTCCCTATACAACCAAGCATTCTGCTAGCATTTCACTATTACACTGTCTGCCTACCTTTAAGTCATCTGAAATAACTACCCCTAAATCTCTTAAATCAGATGTTGAGGTTAGGACTATCAAATATTCAAAATATTCTAGTTATCTAGTTATCAAATATTCTATACTCTGCCCTTGGGTTTTTAAATTCAAGATGCATTATCTTGCACTTACCCACATTAAATATCAGTTGCCACAGCTCTGACCATTTTTCTAGTTTACTTAAATCATTTGCCATTTTGCTTATCCCTCATTGAAAATCAACCTGGTTACATATCTTAATATAATCAGCAAAGAGACATACCTTACCATGAACGCCGTCTGTAATATCACTAAAAAGATATTAAAGAGAATGGGTCCAAGTACAGATCCCACTGGTAACAAGAGCTTACTTTGAATATACTCCATTGAGTAAAACCCACTGTTGCCTATAATTCAGCCACTGCCTAACTCATTTCACAATATTTGAGTTTAAACTTAAAGATTGCAGTTTATTGATAAGCCTTCTATGTTCGACAGTGTCAAAAGCCTTACTGAAATCTAGGTAAGCAATGACTACTGCACCACCCTGATCTATAATTTTAGTTATCCATTCCAAAAAAATCAATAAGATTAGTTTGGCATGATCTCCCTGAAGTAAACCCATGTTGTCTGTGATGTTGAAAGTCATGCGATTTTAGATGTTCAACAATCCTATCCTTTAACATGGTTTCTATTACTTACTTACTGGCCTATAGTTGCCCAACTCCTCCCTACCACCTTTCGTGTGAATAGGCAGTACATTTGCTAATTTCCAATCTTCTTGGACTAACAATGATTGGTTAAATAAATTCGTTAATGGTTTTGCTAGTACACTACTAAGCTCTTTTAATAACATTGGGTGTATTCCATCAGGCCCCATAAACTTATTTGTCTTTACTTTTGACAGTTGAAATAGAACCTCTTCCTCTGTAAACACACATGTAATAAATGACTAATTTGTCCTTTTTCCTTACTGAGGCCCCTTACCTTTATTTTCATCTGTAAATACTGAACAAAAATATTTATTGAGGCAGTCAGCGAGATCTTTATCCTCTGCAGCAAAGTAATATGTTGCTAAAATTGCATTACTTTACAGAGTTTTGTGTCCTCTGCAAACATTGATTTATGAAGAGGCAATGCATTTTAATGCTTATTTCAAAATTATTTATAAATATGTTGAATAGAAGCAGTCCCAGAAAAGAACCCTTGCCACTTTCGTCCAGCTTGGAAAGGCAGAGAAAAGGCAGTTACTGCCTAGGGAAACTTCCAGTGCCTGTCACTCAGATAGCCCACTAAGGGTGCCTCCTGGGTCAGTGCTGCACAACTTTCAGCATCTCCACACTCTGCATTGCGGCACTAAACTTTCCCTATTGATTCAATATTTAGCAGAGGGACTTCCGGGTTCTTAAAACACAAAAAGTGTTTTAAACGACGCTG